TGTTTCTTTTTGGGGAAATCGGAAGCACTAACGTGTTAAACCGGACAGTGGTTCAATTAGATAACAAACTTGAGGATATGGAGGAGGAAGCAGCAACGTCCCCGGACACGCCGAAGACGAATGATGCTACAGACCCCTCAGTCGCATCCGACACACAAGCCATGGATGCGTCTTTTATGTCGAAGTCAATCTATGAGAAACTCCCATCTCCCAAGACCTGGAAAAACAAATCATTCAGTCAGTTCATTTCACCCACCCCGCTCCGCCATTCTCAAATCAATATTGATAAAAAGTTGTAGGAAAGAGATCTATGCCCGTTCTCCACGAACATTTCGAGCCGGGCTCCCTAATGAAAGAAATAGAAGCACATAATGACATGATATCTGCGATCGATTTTGACGTCCCCTTTGGAACAATGGTCAGCGCCGCGTTAGATGACACAGTCCAAGTCTGGGATCTAAATTTGGGCCGATCTATGGGATTCTTAGAAGGTCACCATGCCTCCGTGCGTTGCTTGCAGGTCGACGATAACCTCGTCGCCACGGGGTCCATGGACGCATCGATCCGGCTATGGGATCTCAGCCGAGCAAAATATATCCCCCGGGATAATCGCATTGGCAAAGAGGGCACTGACGACCAGGAGGATAACGACGATGGGCTTGACTACGAAAACCCGGCCGCTGCACCTCTACCACCCTCTCCCCGCAGCATGGAAGAGTGCCACTTGTTCTCATTAGAAGCGCATGTCGACGAGGTTACAGCCCTGCATTTCCGCGGCAACACACTCATATCAGGATCAGCGGATAAAACACTACGACAGTGGGATTTGGTAAAGGGCCGCTGCGTCCAGACACTCGATGTACTCTGGGCTGCAGCACAGGCACAAGCGTTGTCCTCCAATGATAACCCGTGGCGACCGACTGGTCGGTTGCCGGATACTTCAGCGGATTTTGTCGGTGCTGTGCAATGTTTCGACGCGGCATTGGCATGCGGGACGGCGGACGGAATGGTTCGACTGTGGGATTTACGCAGTGGACAGGTCCACCGCAACCTCGTGGGCCACACGGGGCCTGTAACATGTCTACAGTTTGACGATGTGCATTTGGTTACTGGGAGTATGGATCGGAGTATACGGGTGAGGCTTTTCCTCTGAAACATCATAATACACGCTTCATACTCAATCAAACAAATTCTCACTAATGACAAATGTATCGAATCTCATTACAGATCTGGGATCTACGAACTGGCTCCATACATGACGCGTACGCATACGACCATTCCGTAACCAGCATGATGTTCGACACGCGCCGCATCGTGGCCGCCGCAGGCGAAGACGTGGTAAAAGTCTACGACAAGACGGAAGGGCGGCACTGGAACTGCGGCGCAGGAGTGACTGCCGAGGAAGAAGGCAGGACGGCGTCGATTGTCCAGCGCGTGCGGATCAAGGATGGGTACCTGGTTGAGGGCCGGAAGGATGGAGCGGTTGGGATCTGGACCTGCTGAGCAGAGTTTTGCATGGTCTCCTCCGTCGTCTGGATAAGAGGGATCGAGCTTGATAAAACAAAGCTTCCAGTGTTTTCATGGATATGCTCTACTGACTTTCTCGGCTGAAATTTGTTCAATGTCTATATTTTGCCCTTGCAGAAGAAAAAAAATATATATATACGGATCAAAGTTTGGGGCCAGATCTGCATCACATGTCGTCTTGGTTCAATTTTCGACATGGAATCCCTTATGCCCGCCCATGCTATTTGCCTGTCGTCTGTACCTGTCTATCCCTGAACTATCTCATCTAGTCCTTTTTTGTTATGTGTCATGTACTGTATATTACAAGATTTTGGCATGGTTTTTTAAGTTCACTTTGATTTTGTTTATTTCTGTTACATTTTGGTCTCGATGTAATTTTAGAAGAAGGATATACACCTCCTTTCGGGCTTCAATTCGCTACTGCTGGCCAATTTATGGGGGGTTGTTGACCCATGGGGGGTTGTTGACCCAATGGTCAGATGCTAGCGAAAATCCTCATCGCAAAAAACAAAACTCCGAACTGCGGCCCTGTCCCAGCAGCCAAAGGCGACGAACAAAACGTCAAGTAAGACAAGGCACCGAGACAGAACAAAAGCGCCAGAGCATAGAAAGGGGCTTGGACGAAATTCACATTTCAATCCCCTTTCTTTTGATAATTACCTTCTTTCCCGTGAAGGGACAACGTCGTGCATTATCGCACTGATGGCACGTGATTAGTTGGTTTACTAAGTCAAGTAGTTAGTTTCGTTAACTAAAAACTTAGTTTCTGCGCGTTTCGCTGTTCCGTAGAACAGTTCGTTACCACCCACTTCCAAGGTTTCTTCGACGCGCGCAGAACTCGAACAGATGTTTCATCTGAGACTTGATTGACTGGAGTTGATTAATTCATTGTTTGAAGTGGGGAATTATCAGTCACCCGCTGCTGTCATTTGTTTCTTCTGTCAGTGTGATACCCATTTCTGAAGCAGCTGTCTCTAGTTTTGGCACTCACCGAGCTCTTCTATGTTGCGTGTTCTACTTTGAAGCCTCCACTTCACACCGTATATACTGATGCAGTGATAACTCTACTCCATTGTCACTGCTGTGTGAAGGAAGAGGCGCGGGGTTTCCGAGAGCTTTGAGGAGGGGGTTGACGAGGGCAAAGGAAAAGCAGAGAGCCTCGCTAGGGACAAGGCAAATCGAAGAGGCCATTCGATTATCGATACGTATACATTTAGCTGCGGATTATTCTCCAGAAACACGGCCGAATTCACGCGCAGACTTCTATTTCTTCACAGAAGAACAACTCTTCGAAGTGGCTAGCTTTATTGGCCGGAATCCTGTCTGCTGTGGTTGGTGGAATTCAAGCTTGGCCTGCGCGGATACCTCCACTGCTGCGTTCCCATATGCTCAGGGGCTTCGATAGGAGTGAATTTGCTATTCCCCCTCCACCCCTCCCAGCGATCCACGCTCGTTGCTACGGGTGGAAAGGGGGCTGGACATTGCCTCACCCGCACTGAACGAACGAGTATTCACGACGTGAGTGTTATTGTTTTCCGCTGTCCCTAATTGTGTTGTGTTGTGTTGTGTAGTTGTCCACGAAATCCCCGCCGCGTCCTTTACTATACAAATTGTTGCCCCTTCTCCTCTCTTTTCTTTTTGCTTCTCTACAGCAACAATTGTTCCAATATTGGTACATTTCACTCGATCGATTTCAACTCTACAGCTTCACGGCTAAACTTCAAAGACTATCAAAATCGCTCTTCATCGTCACAACCACTACAAACCAACCAATAACCCTGTTCTTTGTGCTGCTTTACAGCCTCGCCAAATTACAAACAGTCAATCCTCTCTCGTCTTCTCTTTGAAGCGCCCTTCTTGCCACCCCTCCTTTGAGCTGGTCTCATTGTATCCAACCAGAATACCAAAATAGATTCCTTGCAATCACCCGAATGTCCATCCTTTGTGCAATTGTCCCTCATCGTCCTATCATTCCTCTGATCTTCCTTCCTCTTAAGCCATCTTCTCTCCCAACGTCCATTTGCCATTCTTCATTCTCTCCAGAAACTCCCCATCCACGATGTTCCACTCGCAATACCTCTTCCCCAAATTCTTCTCCATCACCAACATCTTCAACTCAGCTTTTTGTTGTGGTACTTTTGTTTTCCATTGAAACTTTCTTTGCAATTGTCTCTGGAACCCTTTCGACGCGCGCTTCTGGAGTTTGCTATACTAACTTCACAAATTAAAGCTGAAAGAACATTCTTCTAAGTGTCCTTTCATCCACCGTACATTTTCAACTCTCTAAATTCGAAATAGGCCCTTCCAGAAATCTTTTTATATCTATAAAAATGTCTGCTCGAAAAGTCTCTTCTATTCGCTCGGGTTCCCGTGCTGCAAGTGCTCGCTCAACCCAAGCCGATCTTACTGCCATCATTTCCTCCGCTCCTCAAGCTGATCAGGCAAATCGTGTTCTGGGCAATCCATCTCTCCCAGACGTCCGTACCCAACAATCTTTCGCATACGGCTCTTCCGAAACTCCCGCACTTCCTCGCCAGCTCGACCTTGATCCTTATATGGAATTGTCAGAAATGGCCGACAACCTCGATGACGGTTTGCGTCAGGCTCAGGGCCGCAATCTTACCGGTGCTGAAGAACCTGCTCGTTCTAGTCCCGAAAGACGCCAGTCTCGCTCTATGAGTGCATCCGTTCTCTCTAGCATGTCACCAGCTCCTGAACCTGCCGCACGTAGAACTGCGGTTCGCAACATCCCCTCTCGCAGAACTACATCTCGCAGAGACGCCTCGCGCCAACAAACCCCTGAACAGCAACTCCTTGAGTCTCTCCGCGAAGCATCTGAAGAAGCTGAAACAGTTACCAAAGACGAACCTGAAGCTGAGGAAGAATCAGTCTTCGGCTCTCCTCATACCCCTTATTTCAACGAATCGTCCAGTGTCAGCTGGACCACAGAGCGTCTTATCCATGGCAACCCGCCGCAAGATAGCAATGCTGGAACTCGTCCAAACTTCTTCCGTGGACATCCGTATGGCTCCCGACCTACCCATTTGCAGGGACAAACCGGCCTGAGCGTACCTCCCACTCGTGTCCCCGTGTTTGCAGATATACCTCGCGTTATCCCTAGCATCCAACCAACTACTCCTCCCGCTATGCGAGCTCGTGCCATCGCAAATGTTGGTAGAACGCTCCCGCCTGTTCCAGCTTTTAGTCAGGGAAATAAATATGCAACTAGATCTGCCTCCGGATCATCCAATTCTTCTGTCTCATCTTCTTCAAAGCACACCCCAGATTCATCCACACATTCCTCTCCTGCCCTTGCCGCTGCGACGCCTGCTGGGATCATTTCTACCCACAGTCAGCGCGGTCGAGGAATTCCCAAGAATCCAACCGGTATCCTGGTAACACTCGGTCTTATTCTCATGGCATTTCTCGCTCATCTCTGCAGAGATCGCGCCTGCTCACTCCCTCAGATGTCTGAGTATTTTTGCAGCCGCCTGCCCACGTCCGACAACAACTCAACGACCATGTACGCCGACGCTTTCAACAAGCTGACATACCAAATCGATCAACGACTTGCAGTCATGGCAAAGGATGTGGCCACTCTAAAAAACGAGTGGAACAAGCGGTTGCCGCATCTGAAGGAAGCCCTCAGCAGGTCTCCAGCGGCAATGGACCCTCTGGCATTTCCAAAAGTCAATTTCGCCTCGGTTGGCATGGGGGCAGTGGTTGATCCGTACCTAACCAGCCCGACAATGGATACATTATCTGGTTTGGCTGGCCGGATCGGCCACTACCTCGCCAAGGTACCCTGGGGTTTACCCCCCGTGGCTGCACTCCAACCTTGGGACGGTGTCGGAGACTGTTGGTGCGCCGCCACGCGCTCCAATGTTTCTCAATTAGCCATACTTCTCGGACGAGCAATAGTCCCTGAAGATGTGGTCATTGAGCACATCCCCAAGGGGGCAACATTGGACGCCGGTGCCGCACCACGGGAGATGGAGCTGTGGGCCCAGTACACGGCCCGTCCGCCCACTTCATCCTCCCCCCCGGGCTCTAGCTCTTCTTCCCCCCCTTCCCCTTCGTCTCTGTCGTCTTCCCGGGAACCACCATCCTCCTTCCCCTCATCTTCACTGGGCTCCTCCCCCCCACGTGCTGCTCCCCATATCCGATCCCCGCCCTCCCCCGCCTCTCCCTCCCAATCCCCCCATCACTTGTCCTTCTCCTCCCTGCGGGACATCATCCTCACCACCCTTCGGCAGGTGTATCCGAATGAGCCGGTATCGGCTTATTCGGATGACGCGCTCCTCGGACCGTCTTTCTTCCGCGTCGGCCGGTGGCAATACAACATCGATGGCAGGCATCACATCCAGCGTTTTAACCTGGATGCTGTCATCGACATGCCCGCCGTACGTGTGCAGAAGGTTGTGTTCCGCGTTAAGTCAAACTGGGGCGCGGCGCATACATGTCTCTATCGTGTGAGACTGCATGGACACATATAATTCCGGAACTATAGGTTTGGTGGAAGCGATGTCTCCTGGGATGGATACGGATAGTGTGCGGGGGTTCATGGTGGGTTGTTGGTAGGTTGAGAGTTGGCGTTTATGATGGGGTTTCCGCGAGAGTCATGCGGCTGTATTACACGTGGATTTTGTGGGGGAGTTACATCTTCATATATATAGTAAGGTCCCAGTGATTTAGGTAGGATTTGTATGGTTTTGTTGTGGCGATCTGGGTTATTGATGGCATTTTCGTTTTGTGGTGGATACATAGTGTTTTGAATCTGGAGTTAGGGGGTTCAAGGCCGCATGTGAGCGATTTCTGGTCGTGTCCTGGGTTCGGTCGTTTGTATGATTGTTATTGCTAGCGGCGAAGGAATTGGTTTTCTTAGTCTTTTTATATCTTTCATTTTGCATATTTGATTTTTGTTTACTGCATGTAAAGATGCATTGCTTTCCTTGCTTTTTTTTTCTTCTCTTTCTTCCTAATACTTGTTCCCTGTTTTCCTTGACCTGAACCTGGATCTGGGGTGTGCTTTTGCTTCTTTTTGTGTCGATTATTCTATTTGCTCAGGATATCTTTTTTTTTTTTTTTTTTTATTTGGGAGGTGGGAAGACTTTTTACAGGTCAAGGGGCAAGCTTTGTTGACTTTTTCCGTCTATCATTCAATTCCTCCACGTAGCTATCCTAAAGGGGGTCAGATCCAGAGCTCGAGGGTAAGATTATACTCCCCCCATCCTATGGTAAAGTCCCCCTTTTTATATTAGCCAGAATGTATTCACGTAGTTCGGAACGAGAGATTCAAGTTATTGTGTATGCGTATCACCCTGTGTCATGAGTAATGGAGCCGATATCCTAGCATGACGGTTATGAGCCAATGGCCGCCCCAGGGTCATCCCGTTGAATGGGTTCCCAATCCCACCAGAGATGGATATGAAGAGCAGAGCATTCTGCCAACTGGACGAGCGTATTTCCTATCAACAAATGTGAGCGTCTGTAACAATGAAGGAACAAAAAAGTGGAAGGGGAAAAACAGATCAGAACTGTATCATAAAGCACATCCTACTATTCTCAACCTCCCCAACCTCCCCAACCTCCAAAAGTCCCATGACTGTGGATAGGAGCCAAGGGGGGTCTTCGTGGGGTGGAAGAGGTAGTTGGACGGGGAGGGGAAAGGGGAAGGGGACAAGAAGGGTGTGTTTATTGTCATGATGGTTATGGTGCTTTCTGCTTCCCTTGTATATATATATATGTATGTATGTATGTATATATCGAGCAGCTACGCTGTTGCTACTCATGGGAAATATTGATCATAAGACCAAACTGTATGCAACGATGTGAACTTTCATTGCGCATTGCCGCTCTGGACATAGCTATCCAAAATACAAATATCTGCTATCCCAACCTGATGTCACCAAGCAGCTCTGAGGGACCCACTTTTCGCAGCCTTACGCCCTTTTCAACCTGCAGGATGTCATATGTCAAAGCCAAAGAGTGGAGAAATGTCGACTCTGTTGTGTCAAACGTAACATAAGCGTCATAGATGAATTGATAGACAGGTGTCTTCGATGTGGACTCTTTTTGACTTCTAGGAGGCGCACAGAGGTGGTGGAAGTTACATCGGGAGGGAAGATCGGGAACAAGACACTGTCTTGTCTTAGTTGTTAATAAGTGGCTGGCTTGATATACACCCATATCCCTTCCTGCTGGAGGACTGTACTGTATCTGCAGAGCCTGAGATAGACAACTGCTGGATGTCAACCGCATAGCTCCAATTTGTAACCCAATACAGTTATGTATCTACCAAAGCATCTGTAGTACCGCTGAAAGGCATTCAAATGATAACTACCTATTATAGTCAGTCTGTAAGATGGGGGTGTGGCCACTCAGAGCATCCCATTATCGTCGCTGTTTTAAGCTCAATGCTGTCCACGTGATGTGAAACCTACTCAAGAGACAGTGATAGTTGTGATGTCGTATCTACAAGCTATCAATGCTTGGCCTTGTTGTGGAATGGTGATGCTCTACTCCTCACAATGTATAAATTCAATGTCTTTCACTTCTTTGAAGCATTTTCTTCATTCACTCTCAATGATACTATCTTTACTGTCTTCATACATGGTTATTTACACTGCTTCTTTTCAGTCTTGTGCTAGTTACTTTCTCCACTTCTTCCTGTTATCTGAATGGCATGTTTTCTCAACGGACTTGATTATAAAAGCTCTTCAAACTTATCAAGATCAACATGCCTGGAAGAGGATAGTCAAGAAGTTCATTTCAGATGAATATCACACAATAGATATTATCAGGTTGATTTGATTTTAGATCACAAGCAAGAAATATACTGATGTTGTGATGGCGTAGAACGGGCTTACGTCCAACCTTCTCGACAGCGTAATCGCCACAGGCCGAGGCGATCGGGAATTGCAAGTGCCTAGGCAACAACGGCATAACAGCCAACCCCACAATTACCCCGCATACGAATAACATGTAAACGTGGGAACCGCCTAGCAAACGGCGCTAAGGAAAAGGGCTATATAAACAGAGCCTTCCCCGAACCCATCTCTTCGGAACCAACTTAGTATTTCGTCTAGATAGCTTACCTAGCTGGCAATCGAACATCTGTTTCACCTGCGCCTAGATTGAAGCCGTGACACTCATGTTGTCTATCATTTACATCTCAACACAGTCTGAAGCACTTATCAAAAGTGATAATCTCTATAATTTCAATGATGCTCTCTGCTATAATAATATTATGCTATGTATGATTTTTAATTCAGATCAATCAGACTGACATGTATTTGTGATGAAAGTATTTCTAATGTTCATAAAGAGAAAATGAAATAAATCACAACTGTGAGCTCTATCTGCCTGGCATTTTATCTTCAAAAAACTCACTTGAACAAGAACAATCTGTTATAGCTCAACCAGTGTCAGGATGATAACAAGACAACAACTTAAATTCATCTATCTAACTAGGCAGCTGCGACAAGAATACTAAACTGAGGATTAGAATGTGGAATGAATGAGCAGCTGAATATATAGAGGTGGTTGGAGATCAGATCAGATCAACATGAGCAACCGAATATGTTTGAGGTCAGAACAGATCAACCTTTTAGAGCGTAGCAGGGCAGATCAATCTTAATCCCTATACAAGCAGCTGCGCTGTGACATTACTCCTCGGTTTAAAAAAGTGCTTGCCCTCAAGCAGCTACATTAGAAGCAAGAAAAGAGAAAAAGGAAATCCACCAAGCTTATCAGTAGGCTAATCGCCTTGACCTTCATTCACCAGGTCCTTATAGGTTTCCTTCCATATCTCACTAACATCGGATTCGTCATCAGATCCTTGCCTAGAGGCTGGGATTTGTTTGGCAGTTTGACGTCGGTGATGGGGCCTGGGAGAATGTGGACGGAAGTGACAGTCTTCAACCCAAAGATCATTAGATCCACGAGAGTTAAACCGGATTCTAAAAAATAATGAGATAGACCAAATCCGGGCACAGTCTCACTCATCTAACCCCAACATTAGGTAGGCATCATGAGGATGGTTGTCTCGGTCTGCAAGTGCGGTGTTTTTTGTGGGAGGTTTAGAATTAAATTCTGTTTGATTAATAGCGATTGATGGAAAAAGCATTCCGTATTACATGGTGTTGTATATGTGCTCATTCGGTACGCCTGGTTGTTGTCAACGGGCAGTAGCTAGTCACATGCTGTCTTGTCCCTTTGCCCCTCAGTAGGAAATGTTAAGATTCCGAACTTTTATATGCCAGTTTACGGCGGCTGGCAATTTGCGAACCAAAGCCTTCATCACGATGTAATTTATTGTTGACAGACTGAAATTCCTTACAGCAGCACAACAAAAGGTTCGTAAAAATGATAATCCGAAAGCGATTGGTCCCCTGGAAAGGAAAATTCAATAATCCGACATGACTCAACAGTTACCTCAACATTCCATGGCATTGTGCCATAACAGATGCCTCATGGCTATAAACCTCTTTTCGCCACGCAACTTTTGATGTCCACGCGCTCTGCCAACTAGCAAGCTCATTACGCGGGGGCAGATCCTGCGCTTGTGATGTTACGCAGGGGCCGGCCGATGGGAGCTTGTACTGGGCGGCGTTCTTGGTATTCGATGATGGAGTGGAATGGGTATTTCGATCGCCGCGGCATGATGGTGCTATTCAATCTGAGAAGACCATTCAAGCTTTGCTAGCGAGCGAGGTTGCGACGCTGATATATATCAAGTTTTATTCCTCTATCCCGGTTCCGGTGGTTTATGCGTACAGGTAATAATTGGATCTGAACGTGTGCTTAAGTAGGTTGCTAAATCTCTGAGCAGTTAATTTTCGGAAAACGATATAGGAATTCCGTACATTTTGATGAGCAAGGCTGCTGGATTTCCTCTCAGCAAGAGATGGAAGTCCCTGGGATCACGGGAATCGACTTTATCATTTAAAGAGAAATCGAAGATAGTATCCCAGCTAGGGGTTATAACATGGCAGCTCTCGCATCTACGGTTTCGAGAGATCGGCTCGTTCTTTGAGGAGAGTGGGTATCTACAAGTGCGTGGCTGTTTGTCCCGGGCGTTGGTGGATTCCGAACGAGATACTTTACCGGAACTGCCTCGAGGGCCATTCACTTCTGAGGGGGAATACTTTGATGCTCTGGTGACGGGTCTTTTGCAGCATGTCGAGTGTCTTCAGCTTAGTCATCACTGCTTCTTCGCACCGTGCCCTACTCGCAATAGATATGACGACGACCAGGACTACCGCAGAGCCTGTGATCAGTGGAATAACTTTGTCACCCTTGGGTCTAAAATCTATGGCTCCAACAACCGGGTCGACTATACAGTAGTGGGAGATTACCTACGTGGAATCACCTCAAAGTGGGCGGAAGAAATGTCAGCGCCGGCCGAGAATATCGGTTCCGAGTGATTTCCTTTGCACCACCCTGATGTAAAAGTGAACAATATCTTTGTGGATGACAACTGCAGCATTACGTGCATCATCGACTGGGCATTCTCCTCATCAGTCCCTTTTCCCATCCTTCTCATGGCGCCTGGCCTCCCCCAATCTCGGGACCGCCTAGAGGAGCCTTTAATTACTGCATTTGAAGGTGGACTGAGGAGGGCCATTCTTACCGATCCCAGGGGAGGCCTGATGAAGGACTTTCTCCACAAGCTGGAAACGCTACAGGCTAGCAGATTCGCTTGGTTGTTATCCCGGTTAACGAGTTTTGATTCTGCAGGAGACTTCTATCTGTTCCGTGATATCTGGCAAATGAGCGACCAAAACGACATGGATTTCTTGACATTTTTCCGGTCGAAACAATCAACCGACCATTACTTACAACTGCACGAGGAAATGAAACAAGAAGATGAGCCTTCAGACCTAGTTACGCAACGGGAAACAAGCTATTTTCAAAGAGACATGGTCGGCCTAACAGTATCAAGAAAATTGACGATAGTTTCTGAATGGACGTGTCGATACCGAAAGCATGACCCCAAAGGAATACGACGGAACGGGAATAACTTTGTTGCTGATGACAAGTTGTGGAAATGGGTCTTGGAGTCACTGAACCAGGCCGGTCTTGTGTGTGTGATGTCGAGCTATTGCCTTTCTCGAATATACTCGGCATTGATGTTCTCGGCCTGCCCGGTTGCATCATCTTTTACCTGGCAGTTCCACTTATCAGTAATTCGATAATTTGAACTTTTTTATAGGACAAACACACAACATGAAGTTGGGTGCCGGATGTCTCATTATCAATTGTACCGGTACGCCACTCGCTCTCTGGTTGCCAGATCAGCTCGACAGAAGTATACTTTATCTCCAGCCGGATAGTACGCCTTTTTCCGTGAATCTGCGGGAGGTGTTGGGAGTCCGGGAGGAGTTGGTGGTTGTGGTCTCCTTTTTGGCATTTTTAATGTACACTTTGAGCGAGAGTACGAGTTGCTCTTACGAGAGAGTGTGCTCAAAATAGCCTAAGCAAGTAATTATGTCTGGTGAACTGCCTCAGCAGAGAATTAGAAGCCAATATGCATTTTTCCTTGTTGATGTCAGGAGTTTCTCTCCCAGTCGAGAGGTTCAGATGGGGCATATCTGGCGCTCGGTAATTGGTCAAGTGCGACATCCGTCACGCATTATCCGCCCGAAGGTTCCATGTGACGATGACTATACAATGACTCTGCGCCAAGGTGTTACCCAAGCGTTGCGACCCCCTCCCATCTTAGAAAAAGGCAATCGCGTTCAAGTCTTTTGCGTGGTGCTCAATCCTGACTCGATCTTGATTCGGTGCGCATAATAGTTTCATGCAGCATGCACTGTAGCCTGGCACCTAGGCAATATGCCTACGATAATGCTGAGCAAATCAAGTTCGCTCTCCATCCCTGTATCAACGTGGACATGGGCACTGCAACGCCCACTGGGGGACTTTCATGACTCACCCATTACAAGTGGCATGGGTACGATGGCGTATCTGAGCGGCCAGATATCCAAATCAACGGCTGGCGTTGCAGTTGATAAAATTCATGGTATGCCCGTACTGCCGAAATCTTGGCTGTATGGAACCTCAATTAAGCAGCGGAACGGGCCGGAAGATTCTCGGCAAAATGCCAAGAACTATTTAACTATGCTAGGACGGGCGAATGCTAGACTGGGCGACTGTGCCGTCCCTGGTTACTTCCAGACCCATTGTTCTTCCTGTTCCTGTTTTCCTCATAACAGGATAGGATGTTCCGCTACTAGGAATTTGCCACAAGGCTAATTGCAAGGGTTACTTGATCCGTAAGCGGTCCATCACTAAACCATGTGGGGGAAGGAACCTTGGTCAGGTAATCAGCGGCTACATAGCAAAACAATGACCTGATCAGTGAGTGGGCGTTCTTCAACTTCTATCTTCCTTGGAGGTCCATTGCAAACCAAATCATCAAGGCCAATCAGCGTAGGGAAGACCGGCGCCAAGGTTTTCTGGAGCAGCTTCTGCATGCTTTACAGAATAGAAAAATCTATGACGTATGATAAAACTCGTAGGCAAGAAGGTATTTCGTAGCTTCGCCAACATAGTACGTCATCATCTCGATCTGGCCTCCCCTGCGTGTTCAGGCTAAAAAATTCGATAAACGGATTGTGCTGTACTGATGAATTCTCACATATTGAGAGCCCATGAGGGTGGCAAGGGGTCTTTGTGGTTGAATGTAGCGGAGTTTTGTCCATACCTGACAATTGAAGAGGAAGACCAAATCAATCAACAGTTTCAAAGGGACACATGGAGCTGCAACCGCCAAGTCATGTAGAGCAGTGTCACGCGAACTAGCTCAGGAGTGGGCAGAGGCAGATGAACAAGGCATGCAGAATCTGATCATAGTGATAGATCTCTTGATGATATTGGATCATCTGTCCTGTTTGAAATCAAGAAAATCAATGAATTTATGGAACGAAATATATATAAAAGGTGCTTCAGCTGTGTTTGCATACCACATCTTGAAAGATGAAAAAATCACCGTGTTATCTCTGGCTACTCCAGATCGATTCAACCCGGATAGCTTGACCAATTCTCAGGCTGTAGAGGAGCCAGTTCTGAAAGGCGCAATTGGAGGGGCTGCAGTATCTTGCATTGGAATGGTGCATCTGACCATCAAGAGAGCTGAGGATTTCTGCTATCAGGTGTGGCTGACTGATGAAACTCATCCCTGGATTGCAAATTTCGAACACTGGAGAAGAAGAGTGCTGTCCAAGAAGCAAAACCTAATGGTGAGCCAGGCTGAGATCTTTATCCAAATGGAGACTAAGGTGCAAAATGTGTCAGGGCCAGCAAAGTCTCTGAAGGAGAAGAAGAAGGTGGAGAGGAAAAAGGAGAAAAAGAGGAAGAGTGAGGAGAACAGGAAAAAGATGACGGACGACCAGCGACGCTTCCAAAGCATGAAAAATAGAAACAAAATAGCCGCTGGAGACTCAAACCAATTACAGGCCAACTGAGATTCACGTGACTAGCGGCCTTTTGGTGAGTATGTTGGCGCTTTGTTCTCTTGCACTTGCCAGTTTCGCTTAATGAAAACCTTCAGTTCATCCGTTCGGTTCTCATCAACCAAGCCCGCAGCAAACTTTTCTATCCACGCGCCAAGTTCGGTGCTCGACGTCGCCTTTAATTGAGCATCAATTTGTGAGCATAGAGTGATACGGGAGGCTCTAGCCTCCTCAAAGGTAATACGTGTCTTTACAGACCCCCGTTAAACGGGAGAACATGTAAACTATGTATATCAATAGAGATGTTTACTGAAATCAAATTCTGTTGTTCTTCGGTATAGGGGATCTTGGCAACTAATTTTACCGGCTTGACGTTGAGAAAAAGCGCAAACCAGTCGTCCCACTCACACATCACGCTGCTTTTTGGAGATCCGCACTCTCGATTGCCCCATGTAGCCTACAAGAAATCAACGGTATATAAGTTAGCAAAACTGGGATGGCAGACTGGTAAGGAAGAATGTGAGCCATACCTTGCCGAGAGTGAATGCGGAGTACATCTTGATCAAACCATGGAAGTAGCCAGAGGACAGAAACTGGCGACAGGACAAGATCACAGGGATGCAGCTGATAGCCAACCAGCTTGACATATTTGGTGAAAGGGATGAATCCAAAAAGCCATGCCAGTGAGAGAAAATGCAGCAGAGGATCCACCTCAGTCATCTTGTGGCAAAGCCAATCAAGAGAGATCACGTCATAACGGTTAGCTAGGTTGGGGTTGTAAGAAACACACGCCTACTCGGACCAAACTCCATACATAGGAACAAAGTTCCCCAAGCGGCGAAGCTATGCCACACCCCTATGTGGTGGCTGCATACATTTTCCTGGAATCAGGTCAGAGTGATCTGGCTCTATCCGGGTCTTTCCAAAATCAGCTCACGTTGAAACTCTCCTTCAAAGAGCCGGCACTTGAGGGCTTGAGACTCTATATATATATAGGCATTAACTGTTGAACAGAATTTCCAGCGCGCGAAAGGAGCAATTAGCAACCTGGACACAGTTGGAATATATATGATATTACAAGCCGGGTAAGATATCAATACAATCCAGATAACTGCATGGCCTCACATTACATATCCTCTATCCTCAAGTTAGCCAAATATACTGGCAAAGACAAGCATACAAGACAACAATGGCACAAGGGTTATTCGCTGACTTCCATCTACCGAACCTATATTTAGCGCTGCCGCAGCTTTTTCTGATGTAATGATCTCCTAGGCTCTGGAAAAGGGGATTGTGCCCACTTTCCAGCCTGAGAGGCCTTTCTTGCAGGCCCGACATCTAACCTCTCCTTGTATCACTTGAGCTGATGCGGACGGACCTTCGCAATATCACCCTCTGACCGCCATATGGATGCTCACAGGAGAAATTCAAAATGTCTTTCCCTAGTCTCACGATGTAGCAGTGTGTAAGTTGGGGAGAAGGGGGGGGGGGCTGCTTGTATCTGGCTGAAGGTGATGTGCAAAAGAGTCACTAACTGTGGTATGAGTTTCCTTTGAGAGTTTATCCTCAGAGATGTTATCTGACAGTGAGCCGGAGATGGACCATGGTGGTGATGATTCAACATTCTTCTTGTCACTGCTAGCGCAGTTAAGACATTCCGTATTTATTAATATATGCTCTCTGCAACCCATAGTATTAGAGAAGCTCATGTTCACTTGCATTGACTATTTTTGACTCTGGCTCTGATTCTGATTGAGTAAATTCTATTGAATGTGGCTCTGACTGTGATTACATCTGCAACTTCTCTTTCAAGTTCTGAATTAACATTGCCTCACTATTCCTTCTATTATCAGTTTCACTATTACACTAATACTTGATATTGTCTCTGAGATGTGATTCTTTTTGATCTTCACTAAGAGGTTCTGTATCATGTTTTTCATCTGTTCTATCATTCAGATCAATTGAATTGTCCAGTGATGATTCAGATTTATCATCAGTCAAGTGAGAAAGATACAAGCGGACAAATTGTGACAGAAGTTGATTCATAGTCAAAGAATTTGATCTAAATGATCTCTGAAGATCATAGAAGCTTACTGCCAAGAATTCTTATTTGAATACTGATTAGATTTTGAATCAACAACTTAGAACCATTGTATCTATCTGAAATCTCACATACTGCAGCATGTTTCAGTAGAGTATTATTGTCAGTGAGTTGAAATTACTGCTTGCAATAATAAGATATTAGATGTGTTTGCTATGTTAATAGTGCTCTGATATTTTTTGTAGTGACAATTTTGATCAGAAATTTGGCATCTTTTATATTTATGATAATTTCAACACAGATGAATGAGAGAAATTCTGCTGATGCTATTCTATCTACTCATTTTTATCACATTTTCCCTGCAGGAAGAATCACTATGATATAAGAACATTGATATTATGAAGAGAAGATCAGTCAAATTCTGAGGAAAACAAGACAGGAAGATGAGTGCTATCTATCACCTTGCAATGCCCAGCTGCCATTCATGCAGAGAGCAAGAAAAGATTATAACTCTTCTCATTTTTTATTTTCTAAATTGTAGCACTGACTGAAGGAATGCTAGATGATTGTCATGTGATCAAGTCACTTCAATGCACAGTCTTATAACCTAGGTGGCTGCATGTCATCTGTGGATAATAATAATAATAACAACAACAACAACAACAACAATAATAATAATAATAATAATAATAATAATATATTCATCCATGGATGATGGATGGATGGTTGACACAAATAATAGCATCGTGTCCGCTCCTCATTTCCCCACCATTAAACAACAGCAACATCAAATGAAAGTCAAATCAATATGATAACTACCTTGTCCTCAAGCATACTGAAAATCTCCTCCGTTACATTCAAACGGGGGTTTAGAAAGATCATCTTTATCTCTCTCGCCAACCTTATACCTGGATATGTATGTTGAACTGCCAGCCCTATTGCGCGGTATTCAGGGGATAAACGAAATTCCATCAATTCCAACAATTCATGAATGGAAGTGTAGAAAGTCTCAGGAAGGGAAATTAACTAGTTAACTGTACCCACACTGAAGCTGTGCAATAACCATCAAAATCATAACATGTCGTGGCAAACAACAGATCCATGGATTCGTAAGAATACCACCCGAGAAGCATAGTTACCACAGTGATAAAGCTTTTGTTGGATGCCACACAGTTGAGAAAGTCCTCGCAGCCTTGAGGAATCAAAATGCTGGGGAACAACAGTTAAAATAGTCAAAACTTCACGACGCCACATTGTGTAATCACCCTCGGTATTTCTCAACGGTATTGCATCATGATTGGAGGGAGTTTTGAGTCCACGGCTTGTGTGGCTGGAGACAGACTCGAAGGAATTGACAGAGATCAATCCCAAGAGACCCGTTTCGACTTTTCAAAACGCCACAAAGTAAAAAATAAGGGAATAAAAATAAAAAAAAAGTAGAAAGAAAAAAAGAAAAATATTCAGAAAGACAAAAACGGCTCTGTTCACACAGGTTCCAAGGTTTGTCGTTGAAACGCTGAAACACAAGTGAAAGTTTAGAGCAAAATCGAATCGAATCGTAAGATTTTGAATCGAATACGAATTCCTGATCGGCGATCGTTGGGCCTCTTTTTGCTTTTCGTGGTGGAAACCGGGTGAAAGTTGGAAATTAGACCAGGCTTAGCATTCCCTAGCGTCGTCGCCTTAGGTTTGCGTTTCAATCTAGCTTACCATCTGCATCTTTTGGTTCTTTTTGAGTTTCCATCCTAGGATGAATAGGATGGGTCTCTTGGAGGTTTTCTCTGTTTGTTCAATGCCCCGAGGAAAAGAGATAGGAAGTGCAAATTGCAATAACCCAAATGCACTCCCCAACCCGGCAATTTTATTGAAATGGCAGGTGATAAATCGATGAAGGAAAATATTTTAATCATAATATGATTGTTTCGGGGTTTGCTAACTATGCAGTTGTGGTTGAGCCGGTTCTGTCTTCATATGCAACTTGTCTCGAGTCGCATGTCCCTACATCCGTGACGTCGGTAGTCGTTGTTACGCATCGCCCCTGAATCTTATGCAGGGAAATGCTAACGTCAAACGGACTGCTCTCACTGCTTCAGACTTCACTTCGCTGCTTGTGAGCTACATGGAGTCCACTGGGCGGCATCAAGATTGCAGAGAAGATAAGAGTGCAGCCGACACTCCTCTATGACTGCAGACCCTTCGATGCCGAGTCATTAGTTATTAAAGCATATAGACGCGACACAAGGCCCCGTCTTCCCCGCAGGATGCTGCCGTGGCAGTGTCGTCGTTCATCCGGGCCCTTTCTTTGTTCGACGAATGCTTTTGTCGAAAGATTTGCTTTCACGGAGTCCACACGTAACTCATCACCTACAGAAACGAGACCAAGACTCATAAACAGACTGCACATGGTTCTAAAACTTTCTGGCAGAGGCAACCTGTCAGTGAGAGTGCCCGCCAGCTGCAATTTTCCTCTTCGCCTTCTCTTATGCTTCCAGGTATGCAGTCGTGACGGATTGGCGGATTATCCTCTTCTCGGCAACTCTGCAACGGCTCCTAAACTAAATAATGTGTGGTTTGCGAGTTTGATTTACAGCGGGAGGAAAGGGAGAAGGGTCTGTCCTCCACATCCTATCCGGAGGCGGTAGAAGCCCTCGGGACAAGATGGAGAGTGTCTAGCTGTTTATCTTGGGAGCAAGTGATGAGGACATTGTTTAACCTTTCATGCATATTAAGCGCTATTGACGATGCTGCATGTAAGCAAGCATGCCGAAAAAAAAAGAAAAGAAAAAAAAGAAAACCGTTGTCGACATTTTTGGATATGCCAATGGCAGGTTCATTAGATTGACTACTAGCTAGGAGAAAACGACGTGTGGAAAGGAGCATTTACATACTTCGTGCATTCATGTAAAATATCAAACCCATGCATCCCATCACATGAGCATGAGCATGAGCTGTGGATTTAGCTGATTAATTGATTAATTTAACTGAACTAACAACAAGAATCCCGTTGTAAGCATCCCCGAAAGAAAACCACGGTGAAGGCAGGGATATAGCTGCTATCCTTTTGGAAAAACCTGTGTCTTTGACCGCCCCCGTTCTGCGGGCGTCTTCTTGCAAGGATGACAAGGCGTCTAAAAAGCCTCAACCTCATCGATCAGTAATTCTAGATTACCCACTAAACAATTCCGTACTTCGTATAGACGAAGTTACTTTTCTTAGTTCCTTGCATCCAACCTTGACCTTGACCTGGAGAGCGACCAATTGAATCAGTCGTGGCGTGCAAGGGAGGTACACTAAATGGAGCCTTTTGCCTTCCGCCGCCTCCTTTTTCTTCGCAGTAGCAGGGAGGAGTGAGTCTTTAGTATTTTATCTAGGAAACTTGTCCGGCTTCCTCTCAGGCGGCGTTAACTCACACGGCGTTAAGGGGATCTGCACCTCGGGTTTGAGGGTTAGCGATAGGCAAGGGGCCATAATAGGAACTTGTACGGAGCTGGAACTGCCGTGAATGGCGGCCGGGAGACTGGGAGTTTGTTTCTTGGTTGGTATATTAATAGAGAGTAATGAATACGACGAGAGACAATGGGTTTTAGTTATTCAAAAATAATTAATAATGTAATTAATAATGGATGGAAATGAACCGTCTATTTCAAGGCAGATGTAAAATTTTGTATGGACATGATAGAGCTTTAGTGGGCCATCCATTTTGCGAGCGAAATCTGGATTGATGCTGGTGATAAAAAATATAGATATTCAATCCTACAGCTTGAGATGCAATTCTGTTCAACCCAACTGGAAAAATGTAAGACAAGAAAGACACTTGCACAAAAGCGGGACCGAGTACGTTGTCCGTGACATATTGCCATGATATTGACACACATTGGCAGGTTGTTTTGGGGTGGCACAAACAACAATTAGAATGCTATTTCGACCTCAATTTGGCGGAGTACGCAGTTGATGTCCTTCTAAGCGTGTGTTTCTGAATGACCCCCAAGGTTCTGACAATAAACCTTACAGACACAGGCGAGGAGTGTGAACATTTCTATGAAGACGAATATTTATATTTCGTTCCATAGCGTTTAACTAGTATCTCGAGCCAGGGTCTCAATCTCGATATGTCGATATTCTCAGAGGGGGCCGGAGGTTGAGAGAGTGGGGGGGGGGGGGGGAATAAGAATCCCTGGCTGAGCAGGATTCTTTGATACCCCTGAATGCCAGATCGTATGTGTCGTTAATTTACTATCTAATAATAACTGTTCACATTGTTATTTCTGCTCTTCTTGGACGGTGGACCCCGGGATGATGAGGTGACGGAGTGGTGATGGATAATTAAATATTTTGCATGAGGGCACGATCCTCCCGATGCTTGATCCATAAGCCGAGACGGTGTTTGCTGTTTCAACCCTAAATGCGACACGTCGACTGTCTAATAACGTAAGTAGTAGTTATGCAGGTTTTGAGAACAGTTCCAGGGTTGGATATGTGATATGCTGTACCTCAGTGAGTATGCTGTCTGTCTGTATGCAGTATTCCGTAGACCAACTTTCACACCGTATGGAGGGGAGAGAAAGACTCAAGAATGAACCCCAGCGCAGTTGCATTATTCTCGATAACTACTTCATACCCAATATCCACCTTTTAAGATGCTAAGTAAAACTCTGATTAACTTTTGTGCCTGGCCTTTTTCCAATCAAGAGCTTGCCCCTGGTCAGAGTTGTCAGAGTTGTCAGTGGTGGTCGAGTTGGCAGCGTTGATAGCATTGACGTTAAACTGGGAAGTACCACTGAGGTTACTTTTGGCGGTGGATGGAGTGGACCAGTGACACATAAAGTACGGGACCGGGAGGACTCTAGTCCCGTCCGAGCTAGCGGTAAAGTTAGCGGTAAGTTGGCAGTTAAGTAGCGGTAAGTTATGGCAATTAACCCAGCCGGGCTTGCGCTAGTTCTTACCATACGATACGACGTCCCTCGGCCTTACTAGTTAGGGTAGTATGTGTACTGTCGTCAATACGCGTATGTTGTCCTGGCGTGGCCTGACAGAGAACTTTCGCTCTATTTTGGGCTTCAACGTCAACTTCCAACAACTTCACTCAACTGCGCCAACGACATCTCTCACCCTCACCTCTACCCAGACAGCATCAATTAACCCCATTCTTATCTTCGACTTCTCCTCCTCTCCTCTTCTCTTCTCTTCTCCCAGCATTCTTCTCCTCGTCCTTTCGGATCCCACTCCGCCTGCTCTCCGCCCCATCGGAAAAATACATCATACTACTCCAGGCGTCATCCTCGCTAGTAACCTTTTTCTCATGCCGCGACATCTCCCTGGTTTTGCCGTCCAAACCCACGTTCCCCCCAATAATCACGCTAGTTGATCCATTTTCTTTGCGAAAATAAATAGAAAAAAAAAAAAAAAAAATAGGGGGCTCTTCCTTCTCCTGTTCCAGCGTTAACCATATCTCTCTCCCTCTCTCCCTCTCTCCCTCTCTCCCTCTCTCTCACACTTACTCTCTCTCTCCAACACTCTCACTTCTTCCTCCACCACGCTCCTTCTCCAGCGCCTGGTGCAAATAATAGTCCCTCCAATCCTCGCTGCTCGGTCGGAAAACATCAACAGCACCCCCAGAAAACAGTCATACAACTCTTTCCACCTACCTTTCACACATCCGACAGTGGCTCAATTCACTACGACCCAACGGAAAAGTACTCTGGCTTCGCCCAGATTAATCCTCCTCCCATGATCGATCGCATTCTGGTTTCTGGTTTAACTTAGCACTGGTATTTTGGTGGGTTACAAATTGGGGGGCGTGGCTTTGGGGTTTTCTTTTCTTTCTTTTTTCTTTTCCTTTTTTCACTTTTCTGTTCCCTTTCGCGTTTTCTTTGTTTTATTCTACTCTATTTTATTTTAATTTGTTAGTTTTCTATATTTTTGCGTCTCCACGAGCCTCCTCGAGGAACAAGACAAGAATTGAATCTGGATCCATCTTCCTTTTGCTATTCTTGATATAGATAAAACTTTTAAGGGGCCCTCTTTCCGCCATGGCCCATTCTCCTCCAGCCTCTCCTACTCCCCTCGGCCAGCCACGTCCCATGAGCGCAATGATCCGTCCTCCAAGGAGCAACAGTCGGATGAGTATGTGCAGCAAACAAGGCGGTGGGAGTAGGGCATCCGATGAGGATACAAAGACGGCTGTCAAAGTCGGTACGTATATAGCTATCTATATCTCTATATGTGTATATTTTTCTATACACTAGAGTGCCACTCGACATACATCCATATATACATCCCTTTGGAATAGTTGATTTCTGATCCCATGAAAACACAAATAGCTGTTCGCGTTCGCCCGCCTTTGAAGCCCACAGATCCTGGATTCGAATTGATCCCCCAGCGCTTCCAACGGTCAACTGTCCATGTCACTTCGCCAACCAGCGTGGCTGTCGATGCTCCTCAGGGCCGGAAGTTGTTTGTCTTTGATAGGGTCTTCCCAGAGACCACCAATCAGGAAGGAATCTGGGATTACCTCCAGGATAGCGTGAACTCATTTGTACAAGGATACAACGTTTCCATTCTTGCATATGGCCAGTCTGGTGCTGGCAAGTCTTACACTATGGGAACGTCTGGGCCGGCGGAGCAGAATGACCAGAAAGTCATGGGTATGTGCAATTCCTTCCATTATGCAGCGCTTCTTTATATCTTTCCTTCTTTTTATCTAATACATTATATTACACTGCCAGGCATAATACCCCGTGCCGCTCAGCTTCTCTTTGAGAAATTAACTGGAGCCACCCACAACCGCACCAGTTCCACTGGTCTACGAACCCCAACACGATATTCCGTCAATTCAGCTCTACCCGGTTTTGGCAAAAGTTTGTTGGATAAAAATTGGCAGTTAAAAGCTACCTATGTAGAGGTATTTACTATCCATTTCTATTTCATTCAGTGTTATCCTTCCATCAAATTATCAGCTGTCTAACAATGTCAACCCAAGATATACAACGAACAACTAAGAGACCTTCTCCTCCCTGATTCTACACCCTTGGGAGAACGGAGCGCAGTTACCATCCGCGAGGATACAAAGGGACGTATCATTCTCACCGGCTTACACCAGGTTAACATCAACTCTTTCGAAGATCTTATTGGAGCTCTTAATTTTGGTTCCTCCATCCGGCAAACAGATGCCACTGCAATCAACGCTAAATCCTCCCGCTCCCACGCTGTGTTTTCTCTGAACCTAATCCACCGCAAAGACTCAACTGCGAGCCTGTCGACCCGTGAAAAACGATTATCAATGCCTGTTGAAGCCTTGTCAGGCACTGATTTGTCAGTCACTGTCGATAGCAAACTACATTTTGTTGATCTGGCTGGTAGCGAACGTCTCAAAAATACTGGCGCGTCAGGAGAACGGGCCAAGGAGGGTATATCTATTAATGCTGGTCTTGCCAGCTTAGGCAAAGTCATTTCACAGTTATCATCCCGACAAGCCGGTTCTCACGTCTCATATCGCGATTCTAAACTCACTCGATTACTTCAGGATTCCCTTGGTGGCAATGCGATTACTTATATGATAGCCTGTGTCACCCCGGCAGAATTCCATCTCAGCGAGACACTAAACACTGTACAGTACGCCCAGCGGGCAAGGGCCATCCAAAGCAAGCCTCGTATTCAACAAGTATCTGATGAGAGCGATAAACAAGCTGTCATCGACAGACTAAAAGCGGAGGTAGCTTTCTTGCGTCAACAAATCAGCAATTCTGAAGGAGGAGATAGAAGGAGCAATGTACCGCAAGAACGGGCAGAACGACAAAATGAACGAGAAATTGAACTGCAGAACCACCTTCTGGATGTACAGGAAAGTTATACGGCGCTTAGCCAGCGACATGCCAAACTCATCTCGGAACTTACTAAGGCTTCTGATTTCAGTGGTGATACTGATGACCTCCAAGGCCTTCTTGGAGATAGCTCGATGGAAAGATTGAAGAGGTCCCATTCATTTGCTCAGTCTGTCGAGCAGGTCGTGCTGGAGTATGAAAAGACAATCCAAAGCCTTGAATCCTCTCTGTCCAACACTCGCTCCTCGTTGTCCAACACTGAAAGTAGCCTGCTAGAGAAAGAGACCAAGTGTGCTTATATCGAAACCGTCAATGCCCAGCTACAGGCACGTATTCAGAAGATGATGGATCGTGAAGCGAATACGGAACACTACCTTCACGATCTTGAGTCCAAGCTCGACGGACATACCACCGGAGAAGAGAAGAATGCAGCGATAGTTGCTGAACTTCGCAAGGAAATTGCTCGTGCTCGTGAGAATGAGGCTAGTTGCGAAGACTACATCTCAACTTTAGAGGAGCGGCTAGCTGAGGCTGATCAAGACGTGGAATTGATGCAACGGGAGATGGATAGGTTAGAGCATGTTATCGATCGACAACGCAGCCTGGGTAAACTCGACACCCTACTTTACGAGCTGGACTATATCCAACAGAATGGCACGAAATCGGATGATGGCAAGGGAAATGTAGATGTTCATACCCCACCCACTCTTAGCAGGGAGCCACCGAAGTCCCGGAAGCGGGGCCAGTCTCAATCTCTAGATGTCCTCATGGAAGCTGCTGAGACGGCTATTCCCGAATCTTCTGATGACGACCTTGGAGAAATGTCTTTGGAACCCGCGTCAGCCCCTTCTGAACAAGATTTACCTGCTTCTGGTACGCATAATGAGGCCACCGGACTAAAAACGCTCCAGCATGCCTCTGGAGAAAATGGCAGTCACCATCTAACCACTGACCATGACTACCCGCCACAGAGCCCCGCTCAAACCCGGTTTGTTGCTGAGAAGCTGGAAAATGTAACCCAAGAACTGTTTGAGCTTCGAATCCAACACGAAGCCACTACCAACGACTACGATCTTCTTCATGCCAAATACGAAGAAGCTCTCCACACTCTAGCCGAACTTCAAGACGCTGTTGATGAAGCCCGTCATCCCGCTACAGCAGCAGCAGTAATTACCCCAATGATATACTCACGACCAGTGTCTTTTTTATTAGAGGACTCGAGAGTTCAGGAGCTCAAGGGTGGCGCACAGCCTTCATCTTCGCGGTTGCTCTCCTCGGAGTTATCCTTGGCCGAGCAGTCGTCTATGTCGCAGGAGACCTTAGAGGGTGAGAAGAATATCAATTCCGGCCTACCGGAAACCCTCGAGAAGGGTGAGGTTAATAGCGATGTAGAAAGTATGCAGAGGTTGCTGCAAGAGCATCAGCATGGTATGAGTATGGTGACACAGAAATATGCCCAGTTGCAGTCAGAACACGAAGAGACCTTGAATTTGGTGGAGATCCTGAAGTACGAGCTCCAGCGAAACAGGTCTACCTCTCCAACTACTCCACCCCCGAATAAACCCCAAGTCATCCGGCGCATGACCAGCCAGAATATGACGACGGTGGACCGTGCGCACCGCTCCCTCGCCTCCCTGAGGAACATTGCCATTGAAGAATTTGAAGATAAGCCGGACACCATGCAGACCTTTGAACTTAGCCTCAACACCGCCATGCATGAATTGCATAGTCGCATGGAGCGCATTCAAGCACTTGAGGTTGAAAACAAGAGTGTCAAAAAGGACATGGAAACTAAGACGACTCTTATTTCTGGCCTGACCAGGGAACGGTCTAGTCTTTCCGGTTCGTCGCCGATGGATATCTCCGTCGTGTCGCAGATGCGAGATCAGATCTTGCAGCATGAGAGCCAGATCAAGGAGTTGCAAGAGGCTCATGATGCGCGGGAGAAGGAGTTGACGGCTGAAATGCATAGTCTGAATGAGTTGCTGGAAGCACAGAGGACTCTGGTGACTGAGAAGGAAGATCAGGTTAAGGTTCGGGATGCCAAAATCGTGCAGTTGCAGGAACAGAACTCCGAATGGGAAACTAAGCATCAAGGTGTTGTTGATTCTTTACAATCATCTGAGAGCAAACTTCAATCCATTCTTGCTGAGTTGGAAACCGCATTGGCTGAGAGAGCCGATTGGCAAAACAAACATCGCACAGCTGCTAAATCGCTACAGTCCTTAGAGAAACAACTGCAAACGACCATGGCTGAACTCGAAGCTGCTCTCGCCAGCATTGACGCGCTGCAGAGCGAGCGGAGTGAAGCTGAAGGAACTACCGCGAAAGAGAAGGCTGCTGTATCGCACAGCCTTGAGACTGCACGTGCTAAACATCAAGAGCTTGTGGATAGCCTCAAGAAAGATATAGACGAGCAGCGGGGAACCATTGCTGCTCACCTGTCCACGATTACTGGGTTGGAAGCCTCGCTCGCAGATGCCAAGGAACA